CGGTAGTCGCGGAATGCGTCGGCTCCGTTGCCGGCAAATCTCCTGATGCCGCCAGTCTGCCCCGCGTCCGTGTTATCTGGTTGCGCACCGCCGGCACTCGCCTGAGTGCCTCCCTGCAACAGCGCCTGCTATTGCGCGGCCCGCTCCGCTCTACCGATGCAGATGGCTTCGAGAGTGGGGCCCCCGCCCCACCTTTCCTCACCAGAGGCAAGCCAAAATGCTGCATCACAGACTCAACACGCACAGTGCACATCCAGGCCCAGCTGGGCCTCCAATACTTCAGAGGTCATCCAGAGGGGGGCCCGCTAGGGCCGCACGTGACTACACACAGTCACTACGATCAGCACTATGGGTCACGAAACGTGTGAGGAGTGTGCCGCCATGGGCACAGTCACGCGTGCGATTCCTGCCAACGTGGCCTTCGGTGGAGCTCCCTATTGGGCCACGAGGCGTGTGAGGGGTGTGCCGACATGGAGAAGGCATGCGAACGCAGCCACAGGGGCCTTCGGTGGAGCTTCCTGTTGGGCCACGAAGCGTGTGAGGGGGTGTTCCGAATTGGGAGCGGTCACGCATGCGATTCCTGCCACTGGGGCCTTAGGTGGAGCTCCCTATGGGGCAGGTGTGAGGGGTGTGCCAACATGGGGGCGGTTAGCCATACGATTCCCGTCGCAGTAGCCATAGGCTGAGCTGCCCACAGGGCCACGAAACGTGTGATGTGTGCGCCGGCATGTTTTGACAAAAACATGCGATCGCAGCCACTGAGTCCCTATGTGGCCGCGATGCGTGGCGGCATGCGGCGCAACCACTGGGGCCATAGGTGGAGCTTCCTGTGAGTCCACGAGCCGTGTGAGGACTGCGCCAACATGGGGTGGTGGCGGTTTGCGGGCGCAACCATTGGGGCTATAGGTGGAGCTCCCCATGGGGCCACGAAACGTGTGCGAGGTCTGCAAAGGTAATTAGGGCGGTGGCGGCATACGGGCGCAACCATTCGGGCCTTATGTAGATCTCCCTGCGGGGCCACGAAACGTGTGAGAGGTCTGCCAAGGTGGGGTGGTGGCAGCAGACGGGCGCCCACATTGGATGGTGGCGGAAATGCAGGGGCAACCACTGGGGCCTTAGGTGGAGCTTTCTGTGGGGTCACGAAGCGTGTGAGGGTCATACCAAAGTGTGTTGGGGAGGGCATGCTTGCACAGCCACTGGGGCATTAGTTGGAGCTCCCTGTGGGCCCACGAAACGTGTGACGGGCGTGCCAAAGTGTGGTGGGGTGGGGGCGAGGGCATGCGTGCACAACGATTGGGACCTTTGATGGAGCTCCTTGTAGGGATACGAAACGTTCGAGAGGTGGTGCGCCAAAGTGGGGTGGTGGCGGTGTGCGGGCGCAATCGCTGGGGCCATGTGCGGGGCTCTCCAGTGGGCCATGACGCGCGTGAGGGGTGCGCCAAAGTGGGGTGGTGGCGGCATGCCGGCGCAACAATTGTGGCCATATTAGAGTTTCCCACGGGGCCACGAACCGTGCGAGAGGTTTGCCAAGGTGGAGCGGTGGCAGCATAGGGCTTAGGTGAAGTTCCTCATGGGGCCACGAAACGTGTGAGGGTTGCGCCAAAGTGTGGTGGTGGCGGCATGCGGGCGCAATCGCTGGGGCCTTTCACGGGCCTTTCGCGGTGGCGTCATGCGGGCGCAATTGCGGGTTCAACCACTGGGGCTGTACACGGAGCTCGCTATGGAGCCACGAACCGTGTGAGGGGTGTGACAAAGTGGGGAGGTGGCGGCATGCGGGCGCAACCATTGGGGCCACAGGTGGAGCTTCATGTGAGACCACGAAACGTGTGAGAGGTCTGCCAAGGTGGGGTGGTGGCAGCATACGGGCGCAACCATTGGGGCCTTAGGTGGAGCTCCCTGCGGAGCCACAAAACGTGCGAGAGGTCTGCCCAGGTGGCGTGGTGGCGGCAGTCGGGCGCAACTACTGAGGCCTTAGGTGGAGCTCCGTATGGGTGAAACGTGTGAGGGGTGCGCCAACACTGGGTGGTTGCGGAAATGCAGGCGCAACCATTGGGGCCTTAGGTGGAGCTCTCTATGGGGCCACGAAGCGTGTGAGGAGTGTGCCAAAGTAGGGTGGTGGCGGCATGCGGGCAACTACTGGGGCCCTAGGCGGAACTCCTGATGGGGCTATGGAACTTGTGAGTGGTGCGCCAAAATGGGGCGGTCGAGGCACGCTTGCGCAAGCATTTGGGCCTTTGGTGGGGCTGCCTATGGGGCGACGAAAACGTGTGAGTGGTATGCCGACATGCCGAGGTGGAGGAGGAGGAGGAGGAGGAGGGGGAGAGAGAGGATGGAAGAGGGGGAGGAGGAGGGAGTGAAGGATTGACGCGGTGCGCCGCTGATTCAAAACGATGACCCAACACCACAGGATCGTAGGGAACACGTATCCTGGTGAAGGACCCAACCATATGCAGTTGTGAGTGCCGCGTTGTGGGTGCGGGTTTCGGTGGAGCTCCCTGTGGGGGCACGATCCTCGTCAGGGGTTTGCCGAAATGGGGGGCCGCCAGGAGGGCTGCGCCTCCCAGACTGCCCAAGCGAGTCCAAATGGCCTCCAAGTGCGCCGAAGATGTCTCCGGTACGGCCGAAGATGTCTCCAATACGGCCGTTTCGGTGGAGCTCCATGTGGGGCTGCGAAACGTTTCAAAGGAGGTGCGCCAAAGTGGGGTGGTGGCGGCATGCGGGCGCAATCGCTGGGGCCTTTCATGGGGCTCCCCAGTGGACCACGAACCGTGTGAGGGTGCGCCCACATGAGGTGGTGGCGGCATGCGGGCGCAACCACTGGGGCCATAGGCGGAGCTCCCCATGGGGCCACGAAACGTGTGAGAGGTTTGCCAAGGTGGAGCGGTGGCAGCATACGGGCGCAGCGATTGGGACCTTAGGTGGAGCTCCTTGTGGGGCCACGAAACGTGTGAGGGGTGCGCCAAAGTGTGGTGGGGTGGGGGCGAGGGCATGCGTGCACAACGACTGGGACCTTTGGTGGAGCTCCTTGTAGGGATACGAAACGTTCGAGAGGTGGTGCGCCAAAGTGGGGTGGTGGCGGTGTGCGGGCGCAATCGCTGGGGCCATTTGCGGGGCTCTCCAGTGGGCCATGACGCGCGTGAGGGGTGCGCCAAAGTGGGGTGGTGGCGGCATGCCGGCGCAACAATTGTGGCCATATTCGAGTTCTCTATGGGGCCACGAACCGTGCGAGAGGTCTGCCAAGGTGGAGCGGTGGCAGCATACGGGCGCAGCGAGTAGGGCTTAGGTGAAGTTCCTTATGGGGCCACGAAACGTGTGAGGGGTGTGCCAAAATTGGGTGGTGGCGGCATGCGGGCGCAGCGATTGGGGCCATAAGTGGAGCTTCATGTGAGACCACGAACTGTGTGAGGGGTGCGGCAACAATGGGTGGTGGCGCTATGCGGGCGCAACCACTGGGGCCATAGGTGGAGCTCCCCATGGGGCCACGAAACGTGTGGGAGGTCTGCAAAGGTAGGGCGGTGGCGGCATACGGGCGCAACCACTGGGGCCTTAGGTAGATCTCCTTGTGGAGCCACGAACCGTGTGAGAGGTCTGCCAAGGTGGGGTGGTGGCCCCAGCTGGGCGCAACAACTGAAGCCTTAGGTGGAGCTCCCTACGGGCGAAATGTGTAAGGGGTGCGCCCAAATTGGGTGGTGGCGGAAATGCAGGCGCAACCACTGGGACCTTAGGTGGAGCTTTCTATGGGGCCACGAAGCGTGTGAGGAGTGTGCCAAAGTAGGGTGGTGGCGGCATGCGGGCGTAACCACTGGGGTCTTGGGTGGAATTGATGGGGCCATGAAACGTGTGATCGGTGCGTCAAAGTGGGGCGGTAGAGGCATGCTTGCGCAACCACTGGGGCCTTAGGTGGGGCTGCCTATGGGGCCACGAAACGTGTGAGGGGTGTGCCGACATGCTGAGGAGGAGGAGGAGGGGAAAGAGGAGGAGGAGGAGGAGGAGGAGGAGGAGGAGGAGGAGGAGGAGGAGGAGGAGGAGGAGGGGGAGGAGGAGGGGGAGAGAGAGGAGGGAAGAGGGGAGGAGGAGGGAATGAAGCTGGGCGCCGCTGATTCAAATCGATGACCCAACATCCTGGTGAAGGACCCGACCATATGCAGTTGTGAGTGCCGCGTTGTGGGTGCGGGTTTCGGTGGAGCTCCTTGTGGGGCCACGATCCTCGTTAGGGGTTTGCCGAAATGGGGGGGCCGCTGGGAGGGCCTGCGCCTCCCAGACGGCCCAAGCGAGTTCAAAGGGCCTCCAAGTGCGCCGAAGATGTCTCCAATACGGCCGAGGAAGGTCTCAAGATGGCGTCCAGCCCGCCCCAGAGGGCCCCAAGGTAGCCCAAGACGGCCTGCAGACGGCCGAAAAGCCTTTCAAAGGGCCCCCAGAGCACTCCCAGCAGAGCTCCCGGTACAAAACTCGTATGTGTTCTGTAGGCGGTTGAGTCATTTTAGCCTACGCGACTTTCGGGCCCTTGCAGCGTCTACAAGTGCCTGACAGTCCTTAATTAAGATCGCCCCAGAATCCCAAGGTGGCATGAGAGGGCAGAGCCCCAAGACGGCCCAAGAGGCGCCCAAGACAGCCCAAGATGGCCCAGAGATGGCCCGTTAGAGCCCCAGGTACATCCCAAGACGGCCCCGGGGGCGCTCCCATGGGGGCCCGAAGAGCCCCCCGAACCGATACCACAACGCACCCCCCTGTCGTGGCATCCGTCGGGTGCTTTCTGGGGCTCTCTTGGGGCCGTCTTCGGGCCCTCTCGGGCCCCTCGTGTGGCAATTCTCAAGGTCCTTGAGGTGCTCCCAGAGCCTCATGCAAGGCGGCAAGGCGGCCCTAGAGAGCTGCAAGACAGCTCAGGGAAAGGCCCAAGACGACCCAAGAGGCGCCCAAGACGACCCAAGATGGCCCAGAGATGGCCCCGCCGCGTTCCCCTGCCAGGGCACCTGCGGATTTGCTCCGCGTGTACACACAAGTCAGCTACAATTCTGGGATGAGCGCGTGCGAGAAGTGCGAGCAGTGGCAGCAGGCACTTGCGCTGCACATTGATATGTGGGGGGCGAAGTTGAGACCAGACGTAATCAGCTACAGGGTTGCCATGAGCGCGTGCGAGAAGGGCGAGCAGTGGCAGCGGGCCCTGGCGCTGCTCCGGATGACGCGGCAGGCGAAGCTGAACCCCCAGGACAGCTGTGCTGCAAGTCTGGGCGTTGCGCATGCGAAAAGGAGTTGCAGTGAAGAAGCTGCCTCCGAGCGCCCAGAGCACCCCGACACTCTCCGACGGCTCCGGGGAGCCCCTCGGCGGCCCCAAGACGGCCTCGCACAGCCCCAAGACAGCTTTGAGACGCTCTGGGGCGCGCGAGGACGGCCCAAGAGGACCCGATCGGAGCCCCATGACAGTCCAAGCCGGCCCGACGACGGGCCAGGTGCCTCGGAAAACGGTTGAACTGGATCCCGACGATTCTCCCCCGAAGCCCAAATCATAGGTTTCCTGTCGTTTTTTTCAAAAGGTTTTCAATGTTCCTCCTCCTCCTCCTTCTCCTCCTTCTCCTCCTCCTCCTCCTCCTCCTCCTCCTCCTCCCATTTTGGGCCAGGAATGGCCCCAGGCGGCTCCAGGGCCCGCCCCAGGACGGTCCAGGAGGCCCTGCCAGGTGCCCCAAGAGGCCCCGGAGGGCCCGAAGACTGCCCAGAGAAGCCCAAAACAGCATCATAGAGCTCCTGGCGGCCCCCTCCTCCTCCTCCTCCTCCCCCCTCCTCCTCCTCCTCCTCCTCCTCCTCCTCCTCCTCCTCCTCCTCCTCCTCCTCCTCCTGTTCTTCATTTTCCTCCGTCTCCCCATCCCTTCATCCTCGTACGTCGTGGCCATTCCCCTCTGGCAACCGCGAGAACGCCTTCCCTCATCGAGGCTCCGGCCCCTCTGGAGCCTCCACTCCGCCTGTTAGGGGTGACATTGGGGACTTGCAGCCACTTTGGTCGCTCCTCCTCTATGGCCGATTAGGGGTGACAGGGTGGGGACCTGCAGACGCTGCGGGGACCAGCATCTCGCTCACCCCCTACGGCCGAGTGGAGCCCTCGGTGGCCCCCAAGACAGTGCCGAAACCACGGGATCCTTCCCTGGACCACTCCGAGATGGCTCAGACCCCCCCCAGCATGGTCGAAGACAGCCTCCAGCCCCAGCTCCCAGAGCCTGCAGCAAGCCCTGCAGCTAACCTCAGGGCTGACAGGGGGACCGTCTGACAGCAACCTCACAGCACGCACGCACGCACAATGAGTTTCCCGGGCTGTCCATCAGAAGAAGCTCTGGGGGACAGCCCGGGACGGGCCCCAGAGGCGCCCACAACCGCAAGAGTCCTTCAAGACGCCCCAGACAGGCTCAGGAGGGCCCAACACGCTCCCGACACGGCCCCAGGGACGCCCGAGCTCTTCAACTTCGACGAGCTGTTCACCTACGGCGTGCGAGTCCCAACTTCGGCACACCGGGGATTTAATCCACGGGTTAACACTAGTCAACTATAACGCTGTCATCGGCGCGTGTGGGAAAGGCGAGCAGTGGCAGATGGTCTTGGAGCTGCTCGGCGAAATTGCTCAAGTGAAATCGGCACCCAACACCATGACCCACAGCGCTGGGATCAGCGCGTGCGAGAAAGCTGGGCAGTGGCAGAGGGCTCTGGCACTGTTCAGCGAGAGGGCTGCTGGCAGTGCTAAGCATTGGCAGATGGTCCTGGAGCTGCTCGGCGAAATTGCTCAATCGAAATCGGCACCCAACACCATCACCTACAACGCTGGAATCAGGTCGTGTGAGGAAGCTGGGCAATGGCAGAGTGCCCTGGAGCTGCTGAGGGAGATGCAGGATCGGAGGTTGGATCCCGACGACATCAGCTATAGCGTTGTGATCAGCGCGTGCGAAAAAGGCGGGCAGTGGCAGCATGCTCTGTCGCTGTTCCAAGACATGTGTGCTCAATCGAGGAGGTGATAGCAACAGTGCTGTGATGATCGGTTATGAACACACGGTTGCAGCGGGCTCACTCTTTTTCTGTGGCATGTGGGATTCGGCGTTGGAGTCCGACGTCATTTGCGCAACAATGCTCGTCAGTTATGGCTCTGGATCAACGCGCGGGCAAGAGCTGGTCACTAGCAGCGGGCACTGCCACTGCTCAGCGATGTGCGGGATGCGAAGTCGGAGCCCGATTTCATCTGTATCGCAATACTCGCGTCAGCGTGTGCGAGACCAGCTCCACCTGGACCCCGGCACAAGGCGGCTTCGCCCAGACAAGTCCACGACCACGGCAGGCGGCCCGAGTTTCCCCAAGAGAACCCACCAGACGCACAAAACTCGAAGAACGGCTGCCCGACGAGCCACGAAGAAAGGCCACGGGCAGCCAGCCGTATCATGGAGCACATGTCTTTGGCACCCCTTCTTGTCTTCAAGGCTTTTCGGCCAACGGGAGCTTCAATATCACCACCAACGGCCCCCTTCGGCCAGACAAGCTCCCGCGGCGGCCCCCTCCTGGCCCGCCGTCGGCCGAGTCTGAGCCCAGCGACGGTCCAAGGTAGTTCCAAGAGGTTTCCAACACGACCCACGACAGCCCCCAGGAGAGCGCGCTTCAAGAGGGCACCAGATGGCCGGAGGAGGAGGAGGAGGAGGAGGAGGAGGAGGAGGAGGAACCAATGCAGCCCAGGAGGGTCTCAAGAGGGCCCCTAGGCAGCCCACTCTCGAGGCGCTGCAGCCGGCCCAGGAGCCATCCAGAGGGGCCCAGCGCGCCCTCCTGCTCTTCCTCCTCCTCCTCCTTTTCCTCCTCCTCCTCCTCCCTTCCTTCCTTCTCCTCCTTCCTCCTCCTCCTCTCCTCTTCATTGGAGGTCCTCCTCTCCTCCTCCTCCTCTCCTCTTCATTGGAGGTCCTCTCCTCTTCATCGGAGCCCATACAGCCCCAAGCGGTTCCAGAAGTATCCCGATACCTTCCAGCGGCAGCAGAGCCAGTAACATCAGCAGCACAGCCAGTAACAGCAGCGGAGCCAGCAACAACATAACCGAATGCACCAGCCTGGAGCAGCCAGCAGAAGCAGCAAATGCAGCATTGATCCGCGGGAAGCAGCAGCAAACAGCAAGCATCACCAACAAGCTGCAACACGCAGCATGCAGCACCACTCAGCAGCACGCATCAACACGACTCAGAACAATAACCAGCAGCAAGCAGCATCCAGCAGCCAGAAGAAACAGGCCGCGCCAGCATCAGCATAGTCAGCCTCATAGCCAGCAGCAGTAGCCAGGACCAGCCAGCAGCAGCAAGCAAGAAAGCATCAGCAAGCAGCAGCCGCAGGTATATCCAGCAAGCGCAAACTGCGAGCAGCAGTGGCAACATGTAGCGGCAACAGGAAGCAACACGAGCAACCAGCAACCAGCAGACAACAGCAACTGGCAAGCATCCAGCGCGCAGCGCGCAGCAAGCAATGGCGAGCAGCAGTCTGCAGCAGCAGCCAACAGAATAGACAGAAAGCAGCAGGCGCAGGCGCAGAGGGAGAGGCGGACAAGCCCTTCGGAACGCTTCCGGGATGTCATGAAACCAGCTTATCAGTTGATTGCGCTGCATGCTGATCCTTGTGCGGCACAAATCTGCCGAACCACTTTCCAGATCGAATGCAGTCGTTGTGACTTGCCTTTGCGGAGCCATGCTGGACTAGCAAGTTGCCTGTGGATGTCGCTCGCGGCTGCACACTCGTCTAGACTGCAATGCTGGCGGCAACGCGTGCGAGACAAGTTTGCACAACTCGCCTTGGCCCCGGGTGTGTCTGCAGTGTGCACCAAGGTAGCGCGAGGCTGTCCCAGCACTTTGGGATGGCTCCACCGCAGTCCCCGAGACAGTCCCAGGACGGCCACGGAACGCCCTTGACCGCTCCAGGACTCGCCAAGGCGTGTCCAAGATTTCGACAGCCCTCCAACTTGCCACCCGAATGCCGGCGACAGCTCCCAAAGAGTCTCCCACGAGGACTCAGCGAGGCCATTTTTTGAGCAGTGACGGAGTTATCCAAATTAGAAGGGGTCTTTTGAGTGAGTTCGCTTCATTCTGACCCCTCGCTCGCGACAAAGTGAGGGCATCCGATTACGTTTCCCGGCACCGCTTCTAGGAACCGTTGGGATTCAGCCACAATCTGGTGCTGAATCCCAAGCTGTTTTTCTTGCTCGGGAGGTTTTCGACAAGTCGGCTCCGAGACTCCACGACGAAGCCCGCATTAGATCCCAAGTTGTCGGAGGTCCTCGACAAATCGGCCCCGAAGCGCGCGAGAAAGTGAGGCCCTCAATCGCGCCTCCTGAACGTTTCTGGGGACTCCTTGGACCTCGTTATCATTGTTGCCATCACCATCGTCAACGGCCCCATGATTCTCATTATCGTCATCGCCACCTCGGCGTCACGAAAAAGGCGCAGGCCTCGCTCTCTACATGCAGAAATGCGGGGTCAGCCGCAGAGCGGATACCTAGCACTTTCGGACTCCTTGCTTTGGCTGAGTGCAGGCAGGCTCCGACGGACCCCGAGAGGCACCAGATGGCTCCGCGGCGGCACCCAGACCGCTCCAAGACGGCCCCAGAATAGCCCCCCGCAGAGCCTGGGTCGGCCCAGTCCAGCACGATCCGGGGGTGCACAGAACCCCCACCCTGACGCGTCGATTAGTAAGTTGTCCGTTTTCTCTGTCCTCGAGAGGGCGCCGCGGCCACCATTTTCCAGGCTTGCGCCCGCCAGGCTTGGGCCCGAGGTCGTTTTCATGAAACCACGCTTTACCAAATGGGGTCTCTGTCCATCCCCGAAACGTGGTCTTAGACGGGCCCAGGCCGCCGCAACAGGGTCCAACACGGTCCAACAGACGGCAGGTGGGCATTGGACGGCCCCGGAGGCGCTTGCCAGAGTGCTCCAGGAAGCCCTCAGCGGGCCCTCATCCGAGCCTCGAAGATGAGTCCGCAGTTGCTCCCAGGTGGCCCCTCCAGACGGTCAGAACTCCCACGGTGCCCGAGTGCGCCGGAGAACGCTGTCGCCCGCCGCGCCTGTTCCCTGATGCCTCACAGGGCCCCAAGAGATCTCAAGGACGAGTCAGGAATCGTTCGAAGGTGTTGCCCAGACGGCCCGACGGGACTGCCAGCATCATCCTCCGTCTGGTGCAGAATTGCCCATACATGGCATTCAGACGGAGATGAGGCGTTCCCACCCTCGCGCCATTGGCAGACGTCCTGCACAGCAACTTCATTGCCGCTGGTGTTTCCACAGGCTCCCCCAAGCCAGCCGCAGTGCAGGGCAGCGTACGTAAGATGGGCGATCAGCGGCAGCATGCGCAGGCGGTGGTCCAGGAGGGGGAGGAGGAGGAGGAGGAGGAGGAGGAGGAGGAGGAGGAGGAGGAGGAGGAGGAGGAGGAGGAGGAGGAGGAGGTGTGGTGGACGAAATTGCATCAGCTGCATCACTGGCGTCAGCGCGCGCGCGCAGTGGCCTCGGTGCGCGCGGGGGGGCCTCGCGTGCCGGGGTGGCCTGCGTGTGCGCCCGTGCTGCCGGGGCCCCCGGCGCGCAGTCTCGGTGCCATCGGCGGGGTGGCCGACGGGGCCCCAGAGGGGGATGAGGGGGAGAGGAGGAGGAGGAGGAGGAGGAGGAGGAGGAGGAGGAGGAGGAGGAGGAGTGGGATGAGGAAGCCCCAGAACAGATCCTCATGAAGGTTTCTCCGGTTCCTCCTCCTCCCTTTGCCCCCCCTCCTCCTCCTCCTCCTCCTCCTCCTCCTCCTCCTCCTCCTCCTCCTCCTCCTCCTCCTCCTCCTCCTCCTCCTCCTCCTCCTCCTCGTGGCTTCGCTTTCTGCAACTACTGATTCTGAGCACTGCTATCCTCTCTCCCCTGACAGCGCGCTAGTTTGAAGTCTCCCCCCCGACGCTGCCCCGGCCGATCCTCCTCGCGGACGACGAGGACGCCAAGGACGTCCTCGTCCTCGTCGTCCTCGTCGCCCTCGTCGCCCCCGATCGCCCTCCCCCGCCCGTCCCCGTCGTCCCGCACGATCCACAGTCGCCGTCGGCCGCGTCCACCCGCCTCCGAGGACGTCTCGTGGCAGCGGGCGCCCTCGCACTCGTCGTTCTCGCTCCTCGCTGCCCTCGTCCTCGTCATCGCCCTCTTTGGTCTCCTCCTCCGCCGTCTCTTTGCCTGATACATAATTTCCCCTGCCGCACCCCGAGGCCAATTTTTAGGGCGGGCCGTGCGTTTCGCCTGAGAGTTCCTCACCACTCGTGACTCTAAAGCTTAACAGGTGGCAGCAGCTTCGCAGATGGAGGGCGGGTCGTTTTCAAACTGTGGCTCTCGCCTTAGCGCGGTGCACATGTGTTTTACCAATTTGCAAGAGCTTCGCGTATTGAGGTCGGGTCCTTTCCAAAATGTGGTTCTCGTCTCAGCGCGGCGCACATTCGCTTTAAACATTTGCAAGGGCGAGGGTCGTTTCAAAATGTGGTTCTCGCCTCAGCGCGGCGCACATTCGTTACAACAATTTGCAAGAGCTTTACGGATTGAGGGCGGGTCCTTTTCAACATGTGGCTCTTGCCTTAGGGCGGCGCTCATCCGTTTTAAACTTTTTCAAGAATTCAACGGATTCAAATCATCAGCGTTCCAAAATGTTTGTTTTGAACGGATTCAGGATTATATGGGCTCAACAGTTAGGTTGATTCGCTGTGTTGAAGTTCCAGGACTGGCGTTGTGGCACGATTCAGGATTTGTCAGGACGCAACAGTCAGGTTGATTCATGGCGTTGGAAACCCGAAAACAACGTCTTGGCATGCTTCAGGGTCTTCAAACGGATGTCTTCCAAAGAGGCAGTTCCTTCAATGGAATTGAACCGTTGCAGGGGCCGATGAAGAGAACGCTTGGAGGGAGGGTTTATTCCAACATCGTCGATGGCTCTTGGGTTTACACTGGTTCTCCTCCTCCTCGTCCTCCTCTTTGTCATCTTCATTCCTCCTCCTTCC